CCCCCCTCCTCGAAAAAAACGTTTTGGATCCGTCTATAGGAGGGGGTGATGGGTGGAATAGGGAGGAAAGTGGTGCTCCTGTTTTTCGCCGTGGATACCCGGGGTAGGAAAAGGGTTGAAATATTGCTTACTTCCAAAATGCTCTTATCGTGGGGATGGAGAGAAGCTCAGATGTTGCTTTGCAGGCAGCATTTCAGAAGAGTAAGGAAAGAGAACATAAGTTAGGAGTAGCTCGAGGCAAAAACTGCAGAAAGCAGTAAAGAGAAAGTAAACAGAGCACCATAAAATCATTGGCCAGCGCACCGCCTACCGGTGCAGAGATACGTTTTTTGCACAGTTCCCCGCAGATTTTTATCGCTAACGACACTGGTTTTTCCTGCAAATGCTTCTAGCTAAAAGAATTGAGACTGGCCGCCTGGGCTGTTTGAAAACATCTGTTTAAAGTTTCAGTCTTCCAGCTTTCCTGGTTTCCGAATTAGCAACTTATCTGCAAAAAACTTTCATGGGCCCGTACATAGGAACCACGCATATCTGTGGACTAGGCGTGAACTCATTAAAACCTACGTGGACGTGAAACATCCCCTTTTCCAGTCTCCTAGCTTCTCAGGTCCTCAAGTTAGCAGCCTGTCCGAAAAAAATCTTCATGGGCCCGCGCGTGGGTACCATGCCGGTATGAACGCCCATTTTGGGGATTTTTGCTCGACGTGGATATAGATTAAGTTCCCAAAGTTTCAGCCCTGTAGCTTTTATAGATGCAAAATCAATACAGACGCACACACAGACAGCCCCAGGCTGGGACGCACCAGACGAGCTGGTGCGATCATGCGTTATTGCACCAAGTTTAAGGTAATTTGGTTAATTGCATGAATACTTGTTGCTTCATACCTACCTTCTTTATAAACAATCGTAAATTTTGCACAAACGGAAATAAACAACTTGCTTTTAGCGTCGTTTTTATGCGTTTTTGCTGTGCAGCGCTATGGCAGCTGCTACAGCCAGCAAAAACGCATATTGTCGAGAGGCTGTCTGTGTGTACATGTTTGGAAGCGAGTGCATTTTGTCACCCACTTTCATCTCACCAACCAGGAAAGCTGGGAGGCTGAAACTTTGGATATATGTTCCTGCCCCGTGTGTCATCCTCCCTTTTTAAGGTCTTTCCCCATACGTGCACAGAGCCCGCGTACAGGACCTTCAAAGGAATATATTGGCGGGAACGATTTCGCGAACCACGCAAGGTAGAAAACTGAAACTTTGCAAGGATATTCTCTATGCATATGCGAGCTAAAGATTTTAAACTCAGTTGTCCAGCGCTCAGTTACAGCCTCAAGCAGCTCATCAACCCAAAAATCGTTCGCAACTCCGATCTGAACCGCAACCGTATATGCAAATGAACATGGATTTTTTGAAAAACGGCCGTTCGAACAATACTTCCAATTTTTAATGAACTGGAAATTTGCATTTTTTCAAAAAATTTGCATTTGTCATTTTTTCAAAAAGCGAGCCTTCATCGAAAAAACAGCAGGGCTTCATGCGCAATGAGTTCGTCATGCACTGCAGATGAAACTGTTGATCCTCAAGAAACGGTTAATAAAAAAAAAAGGATAAAAGGAAAGAAGGAAAAAAGGAGAAAACCCAGGCTGGAACGCACCAGGCGAGCCGGTGCGATCATGCGTTTTTGCATCAAACTTTGAGGTACTCCATCATATTTCCTTGCCCTTGCCTCACTCTCTCCACTCACTATTCTCGTCCCTTCCCCTTCCCCCGCTCCCGCCCTGGATCCATCTTCTTCAAGCGGTGATATTGTGCTGCATTATACAGCACGGCTATAAGACGATATTGGTCCAAAGCCCCTGCTGAGCGGTCTGACGT